TTTTCCCTTTGCGCTTGGAACTATTTGACGCAGTAGGGTGGCATATATTTGCAAGGCGTTTATTTTAGAGAATTCGAACTCGGAAAAATCCCTCGAAAATCCCGTTTTCCTTACTGTCGGGATTGAGGTTTCAAGGAAGGGAAAAGATTTGAAGTCTTTTCTCACTCCAATCGAAATATCGAAGGAGATATTTGAAGAAGCGAGAATTATTTGATAAGCAAAATACAATATTTGAAATGTCCCTCTAGAGAATTTTTCTTTCCTTTTGTCACTTCAGACATTTTTTTCACAGACATATAGCTTGCTTTATAAGTATGGGTGGGATTTTATAGGCTTGATTTAAGCTATCCAATTTTATGACTATAAAGTATCAAGTACGAAAATGAAATGGTCTGGTCAATATGGATAATTATGAACAGATATAATTCCTAAATCATTTTTATTTTTCAAGCAAATTCCAATATTTTACGTGAATTTTATTTCTTTTTTATACAAAAGTTAAAGCAACTTTGATACTCTTCTTATTTGTATAGTATGAGAGTTTCTGTTCAAACAAACAAGCTGCCAGTTGCTTAAAAAAAGAATTTTTGAATAAAAATTATAAACATCATTCACATAAATCCCAGTTTTTATTGAAGAGGTTTTGTATTGTGGAATACAGAAGTTACATAGATAAAATTTTAGTAAATTTCATAAAGTATAAAGTTCTTAATTATTTTCATAATTTTTAACACGTTCGTGATTCCTTATTTATAGAAAAGGTTATGTACTAAACTAAAAAGGGCAGAGTTTGACACAGGTGAAAAATTGTCTGTCATTGAAAGTGATTTTTAAAAAAATAGACAAGAATGTTAGAAATTTTCCAGGCAGATTAATAAAAGATGAGAAAAAATAATTTTTTAGGCAGAATTAAGAAAGTGGGCAAATGTAAACAGCATAAATCATTCTTTCTTCACAAATACCCACCACTGTTATCCCAAATTGTTTATTTTCCCAAGTAAATTAGCATTTTCCCCAAAACAGTGGGCACCCGTGAACGAGATCTGGGAAATCGCCAATGCCAAATAATTTTAATATTAAAGAATGAAGGAAAACATTGAATACCTAATATGTGCAGCTGCAAGTAAATACGTAGAATTCCGTGTTATTAGTCAACTTTAAGAATTTTTTCTATTATAAATTGACTTTTTATTGGCTTTCAATTGTAATAAATGGACTTTTTCAGCCAAATATCTCAAATGCATTTTTAATTCCCACATTGAACTTATTAGCAAGTTGGAAACATAAACATAATTCATAAAATTTCATTTAAGAATTTTTAAGGATTATTTTCTGCCTTTTAGTCAAGCTAAAATAAATTTTTTTTTCTTCAAAAATTATTAGTTTATTAGTTTTAAAAATTACTTTTAGTAAAATGTCGATTACACCACTCGAATGAATCATTTTGTAAAGTTCCCTTTAAATATATTATTTTACATATTTTTTATTAATTTTTTTATTTTTTTACATTTTGTAAAATTATTTTAGTTCATCAAATATTAATTTATTAAAAAGAATGTCGAACGAAAGAAAATTGAAATTTTCCTCCAACAATTATAACAGTTAGTACATATAACTATTTCTATTAATGGTTATTTATTGAATGCTTACAAAAAGTTTGAAAAGAATTAGTTTATTTCTCCTAATTGAAATAAAGTATTTTTTGTTTCACAACAATTATATTAATACATGAGTGTATAAAATACATGACCTAAAATACAGATTTTTCAGTGGCTAATATAAGACATTAGATGATCAATAAATATGTTTTTATTTGCTTAGAAGTTCACTCCAATGTTCAAACCTCAATTTTCAAAAATGGAATTATTTTTGATGGTCTTCAAAATATTGAGAGCATCAAGAAAATTGGCTACTATCTATCTGAAACATATTTATTTTTTTCTTTTTGAATCTACTGTAATTGCAATGAGTTCATACTTTCTATTTTTAGTAGCTTTAAAAATTGGCCTTCCTCCAACAATAGAATTACTGAAATTCTTCGTATATATGTTCAATTTTCTCCATTTCCAGAAGTTGACATTGTTTTTCTTTTTTATCATCTGTTTTGGAACGCGAAATATTTGATTATATATGTCGAAAAACTACTTATATCATAGTTTCATTTTGGGAAATTCATAATTTAGCAAAAGATGCGTATGAACAGAGATAAAATATATTTCTAAATAAAATACAATAACTAAGTTTTAAAATTCTATGAATAAATTTTAAATGATGCATGAAATTTCTGAATTCTTTCTTTCATATTTATCATTCAGAATCTGATATTAAAACTATTTGATGCTGAAGATAAATTTTATTTTAAAGCAATTTTACAATGAATTTGTTACTTCAACTAATTTTAAGATAAATTTGTTACTTTAAGTAATTTTAAAATTATAAGCAATAGCATAGACTTTATGTAATTTTAACAATATGTTAAAAATTTTGGTAGGTAGATACTTTATTTACGTCACACTCTACCTGCACAATGGGTTATTAACAGCGTCTGGAAAACCCTATTGGATGATCCGATGACACACCATCACAATCGTGATTCTCTGCAGTGGGGATGACTCCCCTACTACAGTAGCAGATAACCTGCACATGAAGTCGTACATTTTAGGGATAAACAGTTTGACGAGGTCCAATACCGCACACCCTCGATCCCAGCGCATACTGATCAAAGTGGTCACCTTCCCACTTATTGACCACAGAAAGTGAAGCTTAACTTCAGTGTTCTTCTGGGAGCCGTGTTACGGTTCACTGCGGGATTAAATTTTTTTCATTTCTTTAGTCAGAATAATTTTAAAAAAAATTTCCCACAATTAATGGATAGATTGTTAACATTAAAATATCAAATTTCAAACATGCTTTGGCCACGACAACACAAACAGAATCAAGTGTTTCACTTATATTTCTATGAGATAAAGCTTAAAAAAAAGTGTAAAATATTCATGTCCTAAAAACGTCGAAATGTCTTATATTCTTAAAAAATAATGATTTATGTAATTAGAGAAACTGTGTGATTGAAACTAAGAGAGCATTTTGGTACTTAAATTAATTTAATATGACTAACAATAGCCAAGATTTGATGTTATCTTAATAATATGGAAAAAAATTAAAAATTTTTGAGGTAATTATTAAAATAATTTTTACTCATAAATGGATCGAGTGTAAACATCAAAGCACAAAATTTTAATTATGCTTTGATGAAGACAAGCGCTTAACTTCTATTTCTGAAGATAAAGTTTAAAAAAGGGGGAGAATATTCATATTCCGAAACTTCTGCCTGATATTAATAGAAAATAATATTTTATGCCCTCAATATTTTATGCACTTATTAATAGAAAATAATATTTCAGAAACTATTCAATTTCGTTACACTATATGTTTAATGGAATCTAATCTATTACATTATATGTTTGCTGAAATGTTGCATTTGTTTAGAATTTTTATAATGTTTAAGGAGGTAATAACTAAAAAACTTTAAGAGAATTTAGTGCAAATATTCCAACATCAAAATTTATCACAAGAATGTTTACGGCGTTTTTTCAACATTTGTTTTTTTAGATTAACCCCTTCTTTCTCACTCCCGGGAAAAAGACGGGGAGAGGATTCGCCCTCTATTTCTCGCTCCCGTGATATTGACGGGCTGGAGTGTTCAGTAGTAACGCACCAATAAGAATAAAACTAATTAATTTCTTTTACCCGGAAAACATTTTATTTCTCATTTTACACACCAGATGAGAGTACCAGGATATTTTTAAGGTAATTGTAGACAGTTAGCTAATTTTAAATTAGATGTCAGCACTAATCAAATACGTGTATATGGCAAAATAGGCACTTTTATAACCGTTTTCTTGAAAATTAACCGATCGTTATGGGTTTAATGCAAAGATACGTTTTTGAGACATAAATACATCATTACAATAATAATTGCAAGTAAGTAAACATTTCAACGATTCAGAAAAGTTCCTGATTTTTGTTTAATCTTCCGTTAGGTTAAAAAAAAATTTTTTCAATGAAACATTTTTAAAACATAAAGGTGATATAGTAGCGAAACATTTTTGTCTTTTTGCAAGCTTAGTCAACAAATCTCAAAATTAATTCGTTATTGATTTGTAATTTGTAACGACATCACCATCACTTGACGTTAAATATTCGTTTAAGCTACAGAATTTCTTAAACCTTTTTTTACCCTGATCTTTCCTGTTCGATCACTCAGTAATTACACGCGCCATTTTAAAAGCAAATTCGAGATAGAACACTACACCAACGCAGAACAGAGCGAATTAAGAATATAAAAGTATTAATCGGTTTCATGTTATCAAATAAATGGACTTGGATCTAATTTAAATAATTGGTAAAAAGAAATTTTTTAAATAATTTTTGTTCTATAATTTGTTCTTAATTACAACTAAGAGCAGAAAGAACTTTTTTTACCCTGATATTTCCTGTTCGATCACTCAGTAATTACACGCGTCATTTTAAAAGCAAATTTGAGATAGAATACTACACCAATGCAGAACAGAGCGAATTAAGAATATAAAAGTATTAGTCGGTTTCATGTTATCAAATAAATGGACTTGGATCTAATTTAAATAATTGGTAAAAAGAAATTTTTTAAATAATTTTTGTTCTATAATTTGTTCTTAATTACAACTAAGAGCAGAAAGAACTTTTTTTACCCTGATCATTCCTGTTCGATCACTCAGTAATTACACGCGCTATTTTGAAAGCAAATTTGAGATAGAATACTACACCAACGCAGAACAGAGCGAATTAAGAATATAAAAGTATTAGTCGGAGTCATGTTATCAAATAAATGGACTTGGATCTAATTTAAATAATTGGTGAAAAGGAACTTTTTAAATTGTTTTTGTTATATAACTTGTTCTTAATTACAACTAAGAGCAGAAATACACTAAGCCGATATACATTCTTTTTTTGCTTTGTTTTAGATTTATCCTCCCTCCCTGGCTTTCCCACCCTTCTTTCTTCAACAGGTTCAGCAACAGGTTCTTTTTCATTTATGTTTTATCATTTGTATTTCTGTTTATATGATTTCATTAAAATAATTCTTTATTTTTTCCTTTCCTGAAATTTATCATGAAAGTTCATATAATTTTGGTTTTTCTTTCTTAATTTACCTTGAGTGATATTAATTAGTTTTACTCTAATAGCTTTATGATTTGTTTAGATTTTACTTTTCTCTCGCATTAATAATTTATTAATTACATGAAAAGGTTTTAATCTTTTCAAAAAGCACCATATGACTTTTTTTAATTAAAAACATACGCATGAGAAAAAACACGTTTAGCTTGGAGCTAAAATATCTTTCTTACATTAACGAAACAATTTTTAATACCACGAAATTAATACGTATTTTATATTACCTGTTTATTTTAATGTAATTAAATTTTTTAATTAACATTTATGCTCTATTTCTTCAACAAATATACTCATTAAATGACTTTTTAAAATAGCTTTCAACCACAAATTATATATTAAATAATCAGATATAAATATTTTCAATGACTGCTGAAACCATGTTTACAATAATATGTTAGCGTTTAAAATTATCTACCAAGTTTCATCTTTCGCAAAATCATTCAAATTTACCTTTCATTTTCACAACACTTAACTTGATTTTTTTTTCTTTTTTTTTATAAATAGCAAGCAATAATCGAATGACTATAATGTTTCATCAAAGTGTAAATCATTACAGTCAGTATCATTAACGTTTCATTAACGTTGTTTGGAGATTTTGGCTCGTCTTTTCCTAAGATAACTTTTTCAATTGAAATTTAAAATTATAAAAACTTTATAATTTCAAGGATTGCATAGTTTAGAAATGAATAAGAAAAAACAAACTCGCGATGGAGGCCTTTCGTGAAAACATCTTCAATAAAGAAGCGGTTAAAATATGAATGAAATTTCCCCAATTAAAAACTATGAGTTTTCTATACACATAAGTTCAAATTTGTCATCACGTACTTAATTAGAAAAAAAACCTTTCCACAAAGAAAAAAAATTTTTTTTCAACTAAAAAGTATCATTAACAGAAATGTTACCAGAAATGTTAGAAATTAAATTATAAAATTATACTAACTTTAATTAAAATAACAAAGCAACTTGAAGAGTGTCTCGATAATACATAGAAATAAAAAAATCAACTAAACATGCTATTAATGGAAATTTTTTAGGTCAACCGAAATTAATTTTTAATTTCTGTGACCAATACTAAAATTGCACTAACTATAATTAGAAAAACAAAGTTTCTTAACTTTTGTTTCGATAATAAAATAATCAACAAAATATACCATTGAAGGAAACTTTGAAGGTTAATAGAAAAACACTAAATTTATACTATTTCTAATTGGAATATCAAAGTCACCTGATGATTGTTTCTATAACAAAAAATAATAAAATGATCAGCAAAATATATCATTAAAGGAAATTCCTCAGATTGCCCGAAATTAAACAATTAAAGTTATACTAACTATAGTAAAATTATCAAAGCCATCTGAAATTTTTTTCGATAAAGTATAGTAATAAAAATTCTAAACTAAATTTACCATTAAAGGACATTTTTCAAGTCCATACACAAATTGAATTATTAAAACTGTACTAATTATAATTTAAATACCAAAGCGACCTGAAATTCTTTTCAATAATGTATAGTAGTAAAAAATCTCATCTAAATATACCTTTAAAGGACATTTTTGAGATCAACAGAAAAATTAAATAACTGAAACAGTCCAAACTTATATATAATACCAAAGCCACCTAAAGTTTGTTTCAATAATGTATGGTAATAAAAAATTCAAACTTAATATATATACCATTAAAGAACATTTTCTGATATATGGAAAAATTAAGTTACTGCAACTGTATTTAGAATACCACTTAAAGTTCGCTTCAATAATATATAGTAATAAGAAATCTAAACTAAATGTATCATAAGGGACATTTTTGGGGTCTATAGAAAAATTAAATTACTGAAACTATACTAACTATAATTAGAATACCAGAGCCACCTAATATCTGCTTCTCTATTTAATAGCATAACAATCTAACACAACCTTAAGTCCTATTCTCTATGATTTGATTTTTGTTTCATTTTGATACTGGTTATTATTTACCTATGCATTTCAGCTCCACAATATAAATTCAGTTCTGAATGGTCAATATCTGAAAGGTTCACTGAATATGATTGGCTTGAAAGAACTCCTGGAAAGTCCTATCCCAGTAAGGGCATCTGCCTTGTTTCATGATCGTAATAACGGAATAACACAACAATGGTAATTTCTGTTTTAAATGGTGATGGTTTGCTGCCGTTAATGGAGGATTAACACAATAATAGCAACTGCCTATTTTAATGACGAAAACCTCTTAACTGGTAAACAATATCTTTCCCATTTGTTTATTGGCCGTAATAACGGGGAAATAATAAAGGGAATGTTGTTTTCAATGATGTAATAGTGAACTATTTGAACAGTAATAATTGCCATTTTTATTGTAGATAATAATGGATTATCACGATATATAGGACACAGAAAGATAAAATTCCGGATCAGATTACGGTATTAAGTACCAGCAATTTGGTTAAATTATCCTTAAAATCCGTTTCACCGAAAGATTCATTTTTACCGTACAATATTCTATCGTACCTTCGACAGAATGGTGATATTTATTTAATTTCAGTGATTCTGCAATTTTACAGTAATTATTGCTAAGGAATTTTTGCACTAACTGTCCTCTTTATTGTTGAAACGCTCTTAACTTGTTAAAAAAAAAGACAACCTTAATTATTAAATTACTGGTATTAGTTTGGCATTAATTAAATACTTTTGATTAATCCTCAGTCTTTACTAAGACGTAAAAGTTATTATAATTTGCTGAATACGATTCAATTTACTTATAAAACTAAGTTCACGTAATACAAGTATTATTTCCATAATGAAGAAAGATGAAAAAGGAAAAAAACTAAACTGGACATTTGACTCATTCTTGAAACTGGCAATAAAGCCTTAATACTGGTACTAAGCCATAATACTGGTACAGAATAATGCCCTATTGTTTTTTTAACCCTCTGAGGCAGATGGGACACCACTGTCCCTAATACACATTATTTTCTGCTGCTCCAACTATACACAAAAATATATATTGGTATTTTTTAATATTAAAAAATAGTCTAATATTTACTAAAACAAATCTGTTAGATTATCAGAATTATATTTTTACTAAAATATAAAATAAATAAAAATAGTTTGAAATTATTTTTCATTCCTATTCAAAGCTTTATCAATAATTGATTTGGTAACTAAAATAAATTTTAATGTTTTTCTTGCATCTAAATAATTGCAAATAAATGCAGAAAGATAAAATTCCGGATCAGAAAGATAAAATTCCGGATCAGATTACGGTATTAAGTACCAGCAATTTGGTTAAATTATCCTTAAAATCCGTTTTACCGAAAGATTCATTTTTACCGTACAATATTCTATCGTAACTTCGAAAGAATGGTGATATTTATTTAATTTCAGTGATTCTGCAATTTTACAGTAATTATTGCTAAGGAATTTTTGCACTAACTGTCCTCTTTATTGTTGAAACACTCTTTAATAATGTTTTTTTTAAATTTGCAAATAAATGCAAATTTAAAAAAAACATTGTTTGGATCTATGGCGTGTTTAGAATATTTTACCTTTAATACAGAAAAAGCCACCCTTGTTTCATACTGTATTTCATAACCACACTGTTGGAAATTTCTCGGAGAAAAAGGGTTAAAAAACAATTTATTTAGTTATTATTTTACCAAATTCGAATAAAACAGCTAAATAACCATCAGCGGTGAGAAAAACCGCTTATTAACTGCTTTCATCTAATACGGTTTACAACCAGAATTTTATCACACAAACTAAACCCGCTAAATGAAACCACTTCGTTTCTTGCAATTGCGTACATAGTACGGTCGAGAGGGCGAATCTGTCAATCTCATGACCAATAGAACTGGGATTCGAATCCCAGAGCTGACATCAAAATATTTCCTCCATTCCCTTAAACACGTGAAGCGTTTCCTGAGTCCTGAGCTCTACAATGGCCATTTCCTAGCGAAAAGCTTAGCTTCAATGTCCTGTTAAATTTCTTTTTTTATGGTTTTGAAACCATGCTAGTTGTAAATGTTTTAAAAACCGTATTGTTTTGTTTTATAATTATACTAGTTGTTAACGGTTTCAAAACCATAAAGGTAAAAAATGTTCTTTACCCGTAAACTTTATTATTAATTAAATGGACTGACTGGTGCCGGTTATTTTGCCCTAATTTTAAAATGAAAATTTGAACAGTGCATAAATTATTAAAATGTTATAGATAACATTATTCACTTACATTATTATTATTTAGTGATTCAGTAATTTGTATTAATTTAGTAATGTTTATTATTTTCTATTAATTGGAATTAAAATAGATTTAAATTAATTCAAACTACTGCAAAAAGCATGAAAAATAATGATTAATAAAAATTCCGCATCATAGGGCTAATAATAATTAAAACTACCATTTTAATTGTCAAACAATAATTTCCTTGTTTTTGAAATTTTGATAATCCGTTTTCAACTTTAGTTTTTAAAACAAATTCATTTCCAATTTCTGAGGTAATTTTTGGTAAATTCGCTTAAAAAATATTCAATTATAACTAAAATATTTAGATGTTGTACCGGAAAAAAGGAGATAGGTCAGAAAAATAATGTAAACTGGAACATTTGTATTAAGTCAGATAATTGTTCATAAACATTTATTATATTTTAAGGATATATAAAATACATTTTATTGAAGTATTGATTTTAAAGCGATAATAAATCCTCAATTTTCCAAATAGTTCACAAACACATAATTATGCTTATAAAAATGAGTTTTTATAAAATCAACGATTATTCATCAAATAAATAAAAATCTGCAATTCCAACTTAACGTTTTAAATTTAACCTCATTCCTTTTATATTAAGTATGTAAC